TATATAGCCTGGAACCACCACACAGCCTACATAACGAGACTGACAGCAGCAAGAATTTATACATGATTAAGCAGGTTTTGTTTCTGGGCTATGTTTGAAATTTACACATAGTCTTTTGCAAATTAAATATTCTACTGTTAAATATTACAGTACTTAGAGCTGTTTTAAATAATTTAAACATTCAATGTTACAAATTTGGTTAACCACAGCTTTCAAAAAGAAGTGTGTGTGTGTGTTTTTTTTAAAAGTGGGTTATCAGCATGTCCTTTGCCTGGGTAGAAAGAGTCCAATCTGCTATCCTTCGGGGAGTCTAGAAGAGGATTATTCATCGTCGTGACTTAAGGAACATTTTAAAAAGTGCAGAATCAGATTTCAATGAATAAAGAAAATGTCAAGAAACAGACAAATGAGATCAAGGAAAGAAAATAACGGTATGGGATTGAGGCATAGGTAGATGGCCCAGGTTGCAGGGTCTCGCATACCTGACGAGGAAAAGCTGAAATCTTAAGGTCATGAAAGCCAATTCCCTGGTTGGAAATAGCTGAAGAGTTAGGCACATGGAATTCCACTAGCGCCTCTTGGTCCTTTGAGAAGAGAACACAGAGATGCATCAACCACTTCAAATGTCTCTCCGGATTTTCAACGAGATTTGGACACATCTCGTGTCAGGGCAGGCTGCCCAGGCACCAACTGCCTAGAGTTGACTACGATATTCTACCATTAAGGAAAGGAAATCCATCCACCTGGCAACTCCACCCAGGCCGTAAAAATAAAGGTAACAGGCCATGTCAGTGGACATTCTGACCCAATGGCTGTAAAAAAACGAAAACAGAAAAACAGTAAAAGCTGGACTAACTTTTTCTCAACATACAAATCTACAGAGAAGATGAACAATGGTGGGGAAAATATTACCCACATAATGACAGACCTTTAATAACCGTAAAAATGCACGTAAAACCAGAAAGCTGGAGTGTGCCATATTGAACAACGGAAAGGAAAAATAAACGGATTCAAGTTTTTAATTCACAGATTTTTATGGGAAAGAGAGAAACCAGTTTCTTCTAGACCCTCACTGGTGTTTAGCCCCTCCTTAAATCACCAGTACTGAGCGACCATTTAATACGGAAAAGTAGATTCACAGCAAGCAAGTTCTAAGGAAGTGTTTTTCAAATACTAGGCAAGATCCGAGATGGGGTCATGCATTCAATATTGTGGGTCCCTACTAGTATTAAAAAAAAAAGTCATCTGAAATGAAGCAGTACTCTATTTAAACTTTAATCAAGTCATATTTGAGCAGTGTTTCCATACAACTATTAATATCATAAAGTTAGGACTGTCTTGTTCACATTTAATTTCAGATGTGTGTTTGATGTATGAGTTCTGGCTGGCTTTGCCAAATATTATTTCTCACTGTGGCCACAGTCAAGGGTTTCAGAAAAATGCCTTAGCGTATGTGTTGATGAGCCCCAATTATGTTTAATATTATATTCTGAAAAAGGCATGGATTTCCCATATGAGACCAGCAGGGGTTACTCCCCTTTGGAAAAGGGGTGACGCAGGGATGGCTTGGAAGAGAAGGGACCCTAGAGAAAGAAAAGCATCTAAACATCTGTCCAGGATGCAATGGGTAGGTCCAGGGCATCTGAATGTACCTTTTGCAATGCCAGTCTCGCCCGTAGCCTGCCAGGTATTTGTGTCCTGATTCATCAGTTCAACAGAAATAAGCAGAGTGGAGATGGGGTGCGAGACCTCTGACCTCTAGGGGCCACTTACTGTTCACGACCCATTTACTACAGTGACATTGCTTTTCCAACTTTGCCTTGTGTGAATGCCCCACCCCCCCACCCCCACCCCCTTTCCAAAGGTATTGGCTTTCAACAGCCTGCACACAAATCCTGGTCCTTCACAAAGAATTGTTTTTCAGCCAGTGGTTTTCCATGGTCCTCGGGGGCTGAATTTGCAGCAGGCTTGAAGCCAGGTGTTTATAACTTAGGTATGAACACCTGAGTCCATTCTCTGTGATGTCCTTGGGAGGGAAGATCCCTGGCTTCTGTGTTTTGGGACAGGGGACAGAGGGAAATGGAAAATCTCTTGTCCAGTGTGTACCAAGTTTCAGTTTTATAAGATGAACACATTCTAAACCCGGGCTGACACCATTGTGCCTGTATTTCACAAGGCCCTTCTGTGCGCTGGAAAAGTTAAGTACGGATTTCATATTCCGTGTTTCTTACCACAAGGAAATAAAAAAGTTGATCTCTCCTGTAGCTTCCCAGGTTTACAAAATGGTCTCCTGCAGGGACTTGCCTTTTACAACAGGCTTTTGAAAAGGGTGGACTGACCAGCATTTAAGTAGATCACGGTTTTCTAAAACAATGCAAAACCTTCAACCGCAAATTCTATCCATACACTCATTGGAGGTCTTCGCCATTGGACAGTTTTGGTGGGCATCCAATGCTTTCATCGGAAGGAACTTAGAGAATTTCATTCTCGTTTCTTCGGTGAACATCTTTTTATTATTATTCATGATCATGTGGGGCCCTGGGATGAGCAGAAACCACGTGAAGTTCAAATCTCAGCTCCGTGAGTTATTATGAATCCTTGTGTACAAAACTTAGGTCTTCCTGGCTTCAATTTTGCTGCCTTCAAAGTGGGCAGATACCCTACAGTATTGGCCACCAACTTCTCTTAGATATCCACACAATTTTTACGTATGCATTGATAATGTGTACCACAAGCAGGATCACTGGATCCTAGGGCAGTTTTTTTTTTTCTTCCAGTTTTTGATGAGGCTCCATACTGCTGTCCACAGTGGCTGCATCCATTTACATTCCCACCAACAGGGTACGAGGGCTCCCTTTTCTCCACATCTTCGCCAGCACTTGCTATTTCTTGTCTTTTGGATGGTGGCCATTCTGATGGGGGCTGAGGTGAGAACTTACTGTGGTTTTGATTTATATTTCAAAGAGTTATCTGTTCTCCATGGTCAGTGTTATTCCCAACAGTCAAGATATGGAAACCACCTAAGTGTCCATCAACGGATGGATGAAGAGGATGTGGTCTGTAAATACAAGGGAATATTACTCAGCCATGACAAAGGACATCCTACCATTTGTGCCAATATAGATGGATCTTGAGGGCCTCACAAGACGTCAGAAAGAGAAGGACAAATACTGTATGATCTCACTGATGCACGGAATGTAAAATAACCTGAACTCATAAAAACAGAGTGAACTAGCTGCTTGCAGGGGCTGGGGATGTTTAAAGGCACAAGCTTGCAGCCGTGAGATAAATAAAATGGACATCTTACTACACAGCACAATCAATACAAACAACATTGTATTATGGCCCTCAAACCTGCTAAGACACTAGATCTTAATGATTCCAACCCAAAAAAGAAATGACAATTATGGGACACAATAGAGGCGCTTGTTCATGCTATGTTGGCAATTACACTACAATATATAAAATGCCCATAATCGACATGTTGTACACCTTACATTTGCAGTGTTGTGTGTTGATTACATCACAATAAAATACGGTACTATGGTAACCTGTGAAAGCCTGTATCTCGTTGTCCCCCATGTCAGGGATGCTCCAAAGACTGACTCCTTTCACCTGACACAGCCTCAGGAGAGAGCCACGGGCACACCTGTATTTTTTCTTAAATTTCTTTGGGCAAGGATATTAGATCCTTTGAATTAGAGCACAAAAATGACCTCAGCTTCCAGGGAAGGAAGAGTCCTCCACTAACAGAATGTAGCTTTAGAAAGAAAGAAATCAATGCGGGTATCCAAAAGGTTTGAGGAGAGGGAGGCAGGATTTAGCTCCTTTGTACCACCCCCCACTCCCCCGAATAACCTCTATCAATCTCTCAACAACTGTCTCCTCATTTTCTTCCCAAACACGGGCATGCATGTGCATGTATACACACACACACACACACACACACACACACACACACACACACACACACACACACACACATACTCTCTCTCTCTCAACAACTGTGTCCTCATTTTCCTCCCAAACACGGGCATGCATGTGCATGCATACACACACACACACACACACTCTCTCTCTCTCTCTCTCTCTCTGTCTCTCTCTCAGACACACCCTCTTCCAAACCAGAATGTGACTTTACCCTAAGCACCTGTTCTATAGAAATTCTGGCGCAGTCCCTGGTGGGAAGGTTTGCAATCAGACCCTAAGTGTGTCTGTGCAGAGGGTCCCTTCCCCAAAGGATTTCCATGATGAAAGCAGGTGGACAACCTGGATGACCGGCAAGACCTCCCGTGTGGGCTGATATTCTGGTACCTGGATGTAGCAAATGCTAAACGAGCACCACAAACTACCCATGGCCTGACTTCAGTGATGAAGATAAGGTGATTTCAGCAAGCTGCCAAAGGTGACTTGGTATCGGTTGGCTATCAGGCTATGTGAGTAGTACAGACAAAGAGCAGTCAAATACTTTATTTGTTTATGATGATAATAGCCCATTTCTAACAAGTTGCCACGTCACCCTCAAACACTACAAATTGGCAAAGCACGGTGTGAAGGCCAAATCCGGCCCCCGGACACGTTTTTGTAAATAAAACTTTATTGGAACATAGTTGCGCCTGCTCACTGACACACTGTCTAGGTTGTTTTTATGTTCTGTGTCCTGCAACTCTGAAAATATTTACCACCTGGCCCTTTGCAGAAAAAGATACAGTAACACTAATGTATATTTGAAAATTGCTGATTTAAAAATTCTCGGTACAAGAAAAACAACAAACTACGTATGGCAACAATGTTAACTAGATTTGTCCTAGTGAACATTTCCCAACATACGCAAATATCAAACTGTCATCGTGTCCGCAAGTATGTTGTACGTCAGTTATACCTCTATAAAAAGTAAACAATTTAATTGAAAAAAAGGGAAAAGATTGTTGATCTCTGGACTACAGGAAAGCAGAAAAACGAGAGCTTGTCCCATGACAGAAGACAGATCAGAACCAGACTTCTTAAAAGATACAAAGTTTTATTAAACAAACTTGGAATCAATAGTATTATTACATAAATTAGACAGCAGTAAAATTTTCCTAAGGTATATACATGGATCACAGTGATTTTCATTGTGCAAGGGACTGAGAGGATTAGAAACAGGCTTTTTATCCCCCCACATGAGAAGCTGGGATGCCGGCTGGGATCCCAGTGCCGGCTGGCCAGGGCGCCCCACGCCCGCAAGGACACTGGGTCTGCACGACCCCCAAGCGGTCAGAGGGCCACCAGCCGGGCTGCCTGGGACCCAGCGTGAGAAAGAACAAAGCGATGCCCTTTCTGCAGAGTCAAAATGCCTATGTGTCGACAGGCTTGCAATCCCACCTGCTAAAACACACCTGTAATGACTTTTGCTTAAATAACAGAGATCTCCACTGTGGAAGAGTGAGGAAAAAGCATGACACAACATCTCACGACACAGTAATGCACAGGAAACCACCACAGAGCATTTCCCTTTCATCATTGACTGTTCCTTCGGAGGCAAGCCCACAGGGATGTAAAGCAGGCGCGACGGGAAAACATTAGGCTTGGTGAGAACACCCCCAAAGTCACCCTCCATCAACCTACACACACACACACACATAGACACACACACATCAAACTATCCGAATCTATGAACACACCTACTCATGTGCTTTTCTGTTCAATTTTGGTAAGTAAACATCGACCACTCAAGGTGAACACATCGGAAGTCCTCATCACCATCAGAAACAGTGACAGGGGGCACAGGACGCAGGACAGACCCAAGGTGTGTACAACTCAAACATCACAATGCAAACCCTACGTCGGGAGGCATAGTGGGCTTCTGTGATGGTGGGATTTTTGTCACCCAAAATCCAATGATTGGAAAAAAAAATCCAGATGCAAATGTACATAGACACTTACGAGCAGGGGACGGGGTGTGGATGAACAGTGGTGTGTTAAAGTATCAGGATGGCAGGAAGCAGGCACCCATATTTTTGCTAAGGATATGGTTTTACATATTCTGTCAGCTGACTGCAGAAAGCATGATTGGCCCTATTGTCTTTATGCGGAGCAGGATTCCAAAGTTCTAAAAGAAGTGGAAGTCATCCGTGCAAATGGGTGGCACAGAGTATCCCCAGGTGTGACTTTACCCCCTTCTTACCTTTACAGGTACATGTCAAAGCAGGACAGTTACACCGTGCTTTGGAAAAGACATGCCCCAAGTCCTTTCCTGCCATCTATGAGTACCCCAAAGAGTTTTCAAAAATAGTATCCTTGTGTAAGAAAATACTGCCAACACATAAAATTGTGTAAACCAAGATAAACCTGTAATTTGGGGGGGGGTCCACATTGTGTGTTTTCAATGACTTTTCCTCAAAACTTTGCACACTGATTATATCATATCAGATACACGAAAATTTCCCAACGCCTCTGCTGAGTAAAGTATTTTTCAGTGGTATGGTGAGTGTCCCCTGGGTGCAGGACTCCCGTGGATGAAACTGGTCTTTGCATTATGATGTCATACCGTTTAATTCACAAGCCAAACACAGGCGCTGGCAAGCACCCCGTTCCACTTTGGGTATGACGATGGGCGTGACTGTGTTTAATGTCACCTGCTACTCTGGGAACTGCTTTTAATGTGTCATCTGTTTTGCACGGCAGATGGCCGATGACGATGTTTCAAAGAACGGTGTCATCCATGCCTTCAAATCTTTGTTTGTCCTGCAGCTTTGTTTGAAATTAAGGCAATGCATTTCAGACTTTTTTTCTGCTGCTATTTTCATCTCCCCTTTGAAATCCTGGGCGGTAAGAGCTTAGCCTGAAAATATGCACCCGGGTCACTATGTGTGTGTATGATGTTTCACCGTGTTTGAGAGCGGTTCTTCGTGGATTTTTACGTTTTTAAGCAGAGGTTTCCAGAATCATAATCAATCATCGTTACTTGTTTCTACAGAGGGCATGGATGCGGGAGCTTTTCCTTGGGGGTCTATTCCAGTGCCCACAGTCACTCTGCCGACCGAACCTTGTACCATTCAGTGAGCAAACGGTTCATACATGCATGCTCTCTTCATTTCACCTGCCAAAACACAAACCTTTCTTTGCCTTCTGATTTGTACGTGCCCTGTGGCCAAATGGGATAGGTGACTGTACTGCCTCTGACATTTCTTACTTGAAAAAGAATGTATGACTTTCCCAACAGCCAGTTCACATCCCTAGACGTGCCTACAGGAGAAGAAGCAGGTGCCCAGGGATGCCAGGCCTTCCCAGACACCACAGGAGAGCAGCATTGACAGAGAACTCACGCCACCTGGGAGGGTGCCCAGCCCTGCCTCTGCGTCCACCCCCCTCCACCAGCGTGCTCCCCAGCGTACACTCTGCCCTCCATCCCAGCTGCCCGGGGAGGCTGCGTGGAAGGAAAAGGGAATGTGAAGAGGGGGTCCTTCCCGTGTGTAGGTCCATGCCCGTGTCCCTGGGCGGTCACAGAAGGCCGTGGTCTATGCTTCTTAAAAGCACAGACCTCCATGGGGAAGGTCATCGCTGGGCCCCCCAAGACCAGATGCACAAGAGATTTGAGCAACTCTGTTGTTCCAGCTGACTCACCCCAACCAGGAATGGGCAGAGACCCCCTTTAGGTTTTTATGGCAGAGTTTACAATCACAGGAGACAGGGACATGAGTGATGACCAGCACAGCACCCCAAGGACACCATGCCCTGTTTCTGGGGAGACGCCTACACGGGAACACGCTCCTCGTGGTCCATGCAACATCTGGCTTTCATTAAGTCAACCCTAAGGACGCAGGATCGTCAGGATGCTTTTCACAGTATCACAATCAGGTCCAAAGAGGAAGAAAGGCTCTCATGCACCGGGAATTCTGCTCAAGCCCGCCGCATCCGTGAGATGAGAGCGCGTTGGGGGGGTGACTCAAATACGACATTTACGAGGAGGACAGACACTAAGCAGAAATGCACGAGGTCAGTTTTTACGGGGTTGGATGCTTGCATCCTACAAGGCATCTGTTTCTTACTTTTCCCAGCAGAGTTATAGGAAAACCTTTGCATAGAGATCATCTGTGTAACGGAACCAAGAGGCAGGATTCATCAGCCGTGGAAGGTGCGTTGTGTTCAAGAGACGCAAATGGGCATTTTCATGAAGGTCGCCGTCACCCTCGGGAGGGGAGGGCGACACTTCTGAACGTGACACAGAAAATTTCCTGGCTGTGTTACACTCCTTGGACACCTTGAATGGTCACTGGCCATTAGACTTAAGATTCAATGACCTTCTTCTGTTTCCTTCCAGTTTCAAGATGTAAAGCTAGCAGATACGACGCTCTAAAAAAGATAGCGGGTGTAGACCCCCCCCACAGTAGTTTCTTCACCGCTAAGTATAAAATGCACATATGATAAAAAATGCACACATTACCTTTTTCAGGTTTTGTCCTAAGAGAACAGATTCTTAGGGGGAAAAAACGTGAAAAGTAAAAATCATAGGCTCTGCAAACTATGGACATTTACATCATTGCACAATTTCTGTGCAACAGTCATATTTTCTTTTATACACACACCCACCCACCCACACACACACACACATAAATTTGTGGTTGTAACTGAAAGCATCCAGTTCAAACTTATGAAGTTATGTCTATGAGAAAAACCAAGTTATCACAGTGGGAACACAATGTTAAAAGATAAAATGCTAAAAGATAAACCTCTAGAACCAAACAAGTTTTCAGAACTTCCTACTGTGCTGCAGATTTCCAGTTGCTTAAAATAACGCCAGGTCCACGGATTTCCACGGTTTCTCATGTGATTTATGTCCATCCAGACGTATATGAATGTGGAAACGTCCCTGTTACATCAAGATGTTTCTTTGGGTTTGTGTGTTGTCAGCTCTTTGTCCAGGGCAAGTGTGAATCATTCTGGTTCTGAAATAAGACAGAAGTGATGTTAGTTTCTAAAGAACTGGGTAAATTTTGTAATAATCATGATAATGGTAATCAGAACTTTATAATCACACAAAAGCAGCGTTTTTAAGGTGGGCTTCCAGTGTTTCAGGATTTCCTCATTCATTGAATTGTCCCATCCCCACGCCCCATTGAGAAAGGTTATTTCTATCTGTGTGACCTTACCTGACAGCTTAGGGCAGTGCAGAAAGCTGCTTCCCGAGGGTCAGACAAAGCCCTCTGGATAGCAGCCTTCTGTTTCTTGAAGTACGTTTAACAGAATCTATGTTACTAGGAAAAGGCTCTGTTCTTTCGGTATCACCAGTGAGATGCTCTTCCCTCTAAAGGACTTTCATCATTGAAATCTGACTGCATAACAATAACCCATAAAACGTTACGGGCAAAGTAAACAAAATCAAAGCAATTCAGCGACCCAGAAAGAAAAAAAGTAAAGAGCTGCAGGAACATTTCAGGATTTTAAAAAATCCTTAAAAGCAGAATTCCCTGGCTTTGAAGAGGCTGGCAAAGCTGAAGACACTTCGTTTTGAGAGAACAAGTCCCCATCATTAAAAGAGAGTCACATTATGATGTGAAGAAAGAAGAAAATAGAAGCAGACAGGTTACTTTTCCATGGACTTGGCCCCCAATGTCCCTGTTATCGTTTCCTCCCTCATTTTAAGCGTCCAGTTTTGTCTCCGCATTTTCATAGACACGCCAGCAGAGAGCGGAGGTTTCTGCCTGCCGTGCCTCCCCTGTCCCCGCTCTCAGCAGTGGCATGGTGGGCAAATGGTGCTGAGCACATTGCTTTCCCCCTGCTCGGAATGGCCATTGTGAAAACAAGAAGGAGAGAAACGAGAGATGCGAACGTGTAGACACATCACTGGCACTACATTGCTTCTCCTCCTTCAAGGCGAGATTTGTCTTGCTTGGATGTTACAGGAAGGAACAACCCCTGCGGTATAACCAAGCTACATGGAATTGGGAGAACTTAAAAGGTGCTTAGTACCAGTACTTACAAAACTAGACATTCAAAGTCATCGTCACAGACTTTCAAGGGTTCAAAGAACTAACTCAAAATTTATTTTTTTTATTTTTTTTTACTTTTTCTTTACTTTGGGTTATTAAAACTGAACAATAAAGGAATGTCTACAGTCTGAAGAAAGTCTTGTGCTCAACAGCAGGTTTAGGCAACAGGGAATAATAGATCTACTACCCAACCATCATTTTGGGAAGGTTCTAGGGATGGTTATAAGACACTTCAACAAATTTTTTTTCTATTGATACTTTATTTTTATTGAGCCGCATGCAATAAAATGCACACATCTTAGCGTACAGTTCGATGCATTTAATGTGTGTACGCACCCACGGAACCCTCCCCCAGGTCAAGAGTGCAAACATTCTAATATTTTTCCCCTTAAAATCAGTTTTAGAATCGCGAATTGAAACTTAGCAAATTCCATGAGACATTAACAAAAATTGACCCAAAGATGCTTTTGAAAATATTTAAGTATTGGGAGGAAGCGGGACTGAATCTCAGGGTTTCTCATCAGAATAACCGGTGCCTCTCAAATGTTGAGGTGCACGCAAACCTCCCAGAGGGTCTTACTCGGATGGAAGTATTTCTGCCCCGGTAGATCTGTGTGGGGAGTTAAATGACGGATGTGATCTTGACATTTCTGGGCAAATACTGGGGTGTTTGTTGGACTCACACCTGAAAGGACCCCGTCTTGTTCTGCGACATGATGAAGAAGCCCCCCTTGGAAAATGCAGTTTCTCCCTGACCCAGGGTCATTTCAAACATCACTAATTTTTCATGGCTAAAAATAAAGATATACCTTCTGGATAAAGATTCCCATCCTCAGAAATTCTTGAAGACTTCCAAATCTTTCGGTGACACCGGAGGGGCTGTGTTCCAGTCATTCTCGGGATAAGTTTCGAAGTTGGACGTATCTCCCTCGCTGCATACTTTGGGCACGATGGGGGGCTGTGGGGTCCCGCCAACATACAAAGGGCACAATTAGCAAGGAAAATGTGAGCACCGGAATGTTCTGAACATTCTCCTAGGTTTACGACTTTATATAAAAATGGAAATGACTTGGAAAAAAAAGAAGAAAAACACTAGAAAACCAAAGTCATCATTCCTTTGTTTACGAATAAAGAAAGCTTTGCCTTAAGATATTGCAAATAAGGTATCAACCACTGGGCTGACGAGGGCTTGTGCCATTTGAGGAATTAAGGGAAGAAGGATGGATAGAACTGAGAACCTCCTGGATTGCCTGTTCAATGCAAATTCCCGGGCATGCAAAGGTCTTGGGGATTCTGATGAAGCTGGTCCACTGGCCAGACTCTGAAAATTCCAGAAAGATGGGAAGAGCAGCCGTCTCACATTTAGGTATCACCAATGCCAAGCCTCCCTCCTGCATCAACATAAGGAGGCCTCTGGGACTGACACAAGGCCAGACAAGTGTTTCCCATAAAGAGCCAGTGAGTAAATATTTTCAGATTCACAGGCCACACCATTTGTTGCACCTATTCAACACTGTCATTGTAACTAGCAAGCAGACACACACAATGTCTAAATGAATGGGCGTGGCCATGTGCCAATAAAACTGTATTTATAAAGACAAGTGAGGGGCCAGGTTTGGCCCACAGGTTGTCCTTTGCTGATTCCTGGATAGATGGTGGCTCTAGCCACGTCCAACTCAAAGACTCTGTAATGCACACAGATACCAATTGTTTTTCTCTAATCCTATGAAACTACAAGACTTCATGGAGAACCCTGGATGCACGGGGTGACCAACACCCTACAAGATTGCTTATAACCCTGATGATTCCACAAGAAATCTGAGGTTAGTGATGCCAAGAATCCTCAAGGCCAGAAGGACCTAGATTAGTCCCTGTCCCAAAGCCCTGTGCGTCTAACAGATCGCAGCAAAGCAGATACATTTACAGAATCCTGACAGAGAACAGGAAGACAAGTGGATGCCAAGGGGAGTATTTCCCATACTTGAAACGCGTCTGCCCTTTGACCCGATGATCTCATTTCTAAAAGTTTATCTTCACATAGATTAAATGTGTGAGATTATTCTTTGCAGCAGAAAACCAAAAACAATACCAGTGTCCATCAGCTGGGGTCTGCGTAAGTAAACCATCGGAGAGACACGTGAAGGGCTCCACGAGAAAGCTATCCAGGTATGTGGAACAACTACATGCTATACTAAGCCAAAAGCAAGGCTATTGCATGTATAGCTATGGTTTTGTGTCACAATGGGAAGAAAATAAGAATATGCAAATCCTTACGGGTTTTTCCTAGCCTACAAGGATACACAGAAAAATCCAAAGAAAGTAGCTGGGACGGAACAGGGCAAGTGCGTGAGATGTGGAAACATAGACCATTTAAAATTGATTCGGTTTTTGAAAAAGCAATTACCTATTCTATTTACAAAACATCAAATTAATACAATAAAATATTTAAAACTTAAAAGCAGCTCATTGATATCCGTGGAATGGGCTGAGCCCTAGAGTCTGGGCTGGAGCCCAGGTACCAGCATCTTTAAAGTCTTGCTGTTGACAGTAAAGTGCAAAGTGGAGAAGGATGCCATTGAGGCCTCTCATCAAAAACATACTCAGGTCAAAGAAGTATGAGCCACAGAATACTGTCCATCTAATCTGTCTCCATCACTGTACAATATCCTTAAGTGCTAGACACATGCCTTATCTGTGTTATTCCACTGACTGCTCCCCATTAGGAAATGGAGGAATGAGCCTCATTCAGGTCACAGAGCTAGTGAGGGATGGAAGCAGGTCTCAAAAAGTCTGGTCACAAAAGCTGGGGTCTTAACCCCTACCTAGGTGCCTCTTTAGTGCTCAGATAACCACTGGGTAGGGAACTTGGCTTACTAATCATTTGAAGGGATTGGTTGTACTGTACAAACTAATTACGTCTCTACCATAAATACGTGAGTCACTGAGTCGGACTCCTTAACAATCTTGTTAGGGGGAGCTGAACGATGTCAAGAGTTGCCCGTTGACATATGTTGTACCTTCAGTTTCCGTTGTGGAACCGCTTCCCAGTCCACACTTCGGAACCACCGATGTCGTTTCACGTCATCTGCTCCGTTCTTCAAAAGAAACGTGCATTGTTATCAGCGTGCACAGTTTCAGCAGGCCGGGAAAGAAAACATCGCAACGCATCTCGACATGATTTAGTGGAGAGACAAACGGAGGTTGGTTATGTTTTGAGCACGTATCTCTGTAGTCTGAGCTAAATAACTTTGTGTTTCATTTGCTTTTCTTCAGAGTAGACACACATCCAGTCGTTATGCTCATGTGTGCATTGCTCTGGATGAAAGACTGATGTAGAATGTAAAGACAGTCAAGCATCTCAATGTAAACTACTGGACTCGTGGTAATTTCTGAATATGTCACCTGTTCTCATCTTGACAAGTGGAACAGAGACAGGTATACATATGAGAGACAAATGATATACAGACAATAGATAAATATAGATGATGCAGATGATACGCAGATGCATACGTACACACACAGATAGGTAGGTAGGTAAACAGACAGACACGTAGATGGATGGACAGATAGATAAGCAGGCAGGCAGATATACAGATGATTGATTAAACACAGATAACAGACAGACAGGTAGATAGATTCAACTAATATGAAAGAAGTACAAGAAGAAGAAAGCAGTAGAAATTTTCCACATATGAAGGGCAGCAATGTCCAAGGGGATGAATGAGTTAAACACAATGGGTATCCTTTAGAAGAAAAGGGGAAATACTCCAAATAACAGGACACCAAGAAGAGAAAAACATCAAGGTCTGATGGTGAAGGAGGCTGGGGAGCGCAGCATGGCCGGCGTGAGGGCTTGTCATGAAGACCAGTGACTCATAAGAGGGCAAATATGTGGTGGAGACGTATCAGGAGGCTGCAGAATGGTAAGCTAAGGCCGTCGGGCTCCATGCTATAAACAAGACCCCTTTTCCTACACAAAGGAGTAAACTGATGGCGGTGGGGGCGCTTGCAAACAGGGAGCTGCAGCAACCTGGCCAGCAGGAGCACAGTACAGAGGAGATAGATGGTCAGCCTTGGTGAGAGAACCAATGATGTCCATCTCTGCTACCTGCACTAGACGGCTTACTACTCAGGAACATGTTTGCATTTTCATTGGGCAGTTTCTTTAGCCTGTGCCAGCCAATCTCCAGGTCAGGCAACGCTACCCACTCTTCAAGTCCTTGTTCAGATGTCTGTGTTTTCCCCAGGATGCCTCCCACAGTCACTGAGCCTCCCCTGTAGCAGATGCTACATGTGGGTCACCTGTGTTGTTCCTGAAGCCATGGAGCAATCAATGACTCCTTGCTGCATGTTGGTGACATTTAAACCGTATATCTAACCATTTTCATGCTATTTGCTGTGAAACATTATTATTGGATGAATACTCTGTTTTGCTGATTTGTTTCCTTCACCAGTAATGTCCAAGTTAGCTTTTAAGACGCTCCTTAGAGACCTGTGCATATCATGGGCTGATGTCCTCACATGCTGGGAAGGACAAATTTGACGACTGTTATGGATGGGAGGTACGCTGTGAGAAGGTATGCTGAAGTCCTAACCCGCAGTACCTGCGAATGTTAGGTTGGAAATGTAAACAAGGTGAGGTCCTCCTGGATTGGGATGGTCCTACACCCAAGGACAGGTGTCCTCATGAGACACAGAAGAGGAGAGACACATGCACAGGGGAGAAGCCACGTGGAGATGGAGGCAGAGACGGGAGGGATGCGGCCACGTGCCCAGGGCTGCCTGGAGCCCCCAGAAGCTGGCAGAGGCAGGAAGGAGGCTCCCCTGAGGAGGTCCTGCCCTGCCTGGACCTCAGAGGTCTGCTCTCCAGAGCTGGGGAAGGATGGTTCCTGTGATTTAAGCCTCAGTTCGTGGCCTTTGTTACAGAAGCCACAGGAAATGGATACGCCACAGAACAGAGGCCCCGAGAGAAGATCTGTGAGGATCAAGCCGCACACACAGTCTATGCAGTGTCTCAGTATTGCAACTGAGAGGGTCAATGCCCCGACCCATGGTTTTATTGCTTCATCACTGTGCGGAACTAGGGCTCCTGACAAAGATGCCCATGGAGGCTCTCAGGTTCAGTGGTGCCAAAACCGAACCAAAACACGCACATAAGATACCACGGCATTTATACAGCAGCCAATTCCTTAAATGTGTTTACCTCCACGTGAAAGTAATACAGTGCACAACTTCCAAAATAATGATTAATGCACACACAGATGTATACACCCTCATGGTTATGGCACACTACTCCTAACAGCCAAAAGGTGGCAACTACCCAAACGGCCATCAGCGGATGAATAGGGGAACAAGATGTGGAATTTCACTAAGCCACGAAAACGAGGGCGGCCCTGACACACGCTTTCATATGGATGAACGCTGAAAACATCACAAAGAAATCAGACACAAATGGTCCCATATGGTACAATTCATGTGTATGAAATCCCAGAATAGAGAAATGTATAAAGACAGAACACAGCTTAGTGGCTGATTCACAGAAGAATGGTGGTGGTGGAAGGTGACCGCTATAGGGTATGGGGCTTCTTTTTGATATGAAGAAAATGTTCTTTAAAATTGACATGTCTGCAAATACATTAAAACCCATCGGATTGTACACAGTTTACATGGGTGACTTGTGTGGTATGTGAATTTTAGCTCAAACATTCATGCCCAGAAACCCAGACTTGAAATCTGGGCAGTGATCAAACAGGCATACCCTGCCTTTGTTTAGATCTATAAATATGAAAATACAATGTCCAATGGCTGGAACTTATCATGGATACCATTTCATCATCATGGACACAAGCACCGACCTTCATGTTTCCAAGGCGACGGGTTCTGTCAACAACAAGCAGTTTCTTGATGAGGTCTCTGTTTGGGGAAGGAGACAGAAAGTGCATATATCTTGACACGGACCCTAGCAACACACCATGTAGGCACGTGGAAAGCAGGTGAGCTTTCCTTCTGGCTAAACATTTTCTAGCACTTATTTCTTACCGTCACCGTTTCTTCAATAATTTACACAATGCCAGGCTGCATGCACATAGGGACTGAGCTGTAGAAGGAAGGCTCTAGAAGCTCATACCGAGGGAGAAAAGTTGATTAAATCATTGCACAGAAGATGAGCCTTTGAATATCAGCCTGAGAAAATGCATGCCTGCTCTGGGGACTGTGACACTTCCATTACAAGATACCTCTCAAACTGCCCCTGGCAGAGGGAATATTTATCTGTTTTTACCCAAATAAATGGTCACACTCTGCCCTGCGGGTCTACTTGATTTATGGGATCCTTGGTTTACAATGTTTTCCCTCAAGTGCCCCAATTACTCCATGTCCTTTAAAGTGTGCTGGTTCCCTCAGATGTTCCTTGTAAAGAACAGGTCGTCAGAACACAGTAAGCCGGTCCACTTGGCATGGAAGTGTCAGACGGGCTTCAAGACTTCCAGAAGACAGACAGTTCTAAGAGTCACAGTTAAGGAGATAAAAAGCATTGTGTGTGTGTGTGCGTAATATGTAGTTTATTACGTATAATAAGATCCAGGCATTTTAAACATATACTGAAATCCCCCAGAACAACAAAAAAACTCATTGACTGAACTTCAAAATACCCATGACTTTGTGGCTACATTTTGCTGATATAAACTATGTCCTCGGGTGAGGAGTGCACATCTAGATTTAGGCCATGCCCAGGGCCCTGTGACCCCCTGGGAAAGTTCACAGGAGTCAGCTGAGATTCTAGC